ATTTTTTCCGTCTCGTCCTTGCATACACTCGACTCCTAGGGGTTATTCTTGCTCATAAATCATTCCAATCTCCTCTTGAAAGCATCATTAGGCTTCTTATCCTGCAAGGTATACATATTTTGAGTAGAGCCTGTTTTTCCATCAATTATCCATAATATGACATTGAAATATAATCAAGCATAAGCATAAACAATAGCTAAATCACCCAGATTTCGCCTATTATCAATATCCCACACTTAATTCATTGCTAGTCCTCGAGCAATCAACTAGAGAATTCTTTACTCAACTCTTTCCCTTAATGCCTTACACCTAGAACAATGTACATGTATTACGCTTAGTAGTGAACAATCCTAGCCTCAAAGTCGACTCTCAAGTACCATGCAATATTCACACTTCCTCAAAGTACTCTAGATAGAAATCAAGACTTGCTTCTCTGTCACGATTCATATGCCCTCACAATTACATCAACAAAGACTGAGTTCAATCCCCCACATTCAATTCATATATTCATATATATCAAGGAAATCACTCACTCTCACAAAAGAAGTCACATGCATGCAATTGGTACCATAAACTTGCCCTTAATGTAAATCTCTATTAATGTAGGCTAGCTCAATCCAAAATCAATTAGGACTTTTTCATGGTTGTAATGTGGGCTAAGGGACGGGTAGGATGTATTTAGGAATAGTGACTCAACCCCTAAGCACTTTAACACATCACACGAGCAATTTTCAGCATAAATTCTTCAACCCACTTCTCATTTATACACAATATCATCCCAAAAATACGCCCTTCTTCTTTAAGCACTCTATTAATTCATTCCCACTAGCTAGAGCAAAACACAATATAATTTTTCTTATCACTCAATTTCTGCTAGTGGTGTATTCGTTTACAACATAAGTGCCCCTTTCATCCTTTTATTGGTTCCACTCAAAAGCCACCCCACACTTATTTCCTTCTTACTTCTTTTAGCTCTCCTCTCATAATTAACGTGCTTTAAGAGGTAAAAGGATCAAGACAATGTCAATTAAGAACAAAAGGGTATAGACTTGTAATGCGGGTGCCAAACAAAAGTCTAAAGGCTCAAAAGGGTTAACTAGGGACAAATTTTATTTGTGATAAGCAATTAAGCTCAAAAAAAGGTCAAAGAAAGCCTAACATCATTTTTCAAACCAAGCATCACCTCAAATTTCGCTTCAACTCACATACCGGGCAAGTTCTAGACACAAGTACAATACATGGACTACACAAATACTCACCACACATGGCATATGACTCATTCCAGATCAGCTCATCAAGACACTCCATTACGAGCATTCAATTCAGTACAAACATACAAATTAAGGCACTTTCAGTGAGATTCAACAATTAAGACTAAGCGCGTTACACTCTAGGTTCTATTGTGTTCATGTGTGTCAACGCTATGGGTTCTCTTCTATAGCTTGCATCCTAAAAAGAAAAAAATCATTCTTGGAACTAAAAACTCCTGAAAACTGAAAATTGGGAAATTTAGACCCACTACATATGCTCGGTTCAACATAAACCCTTGGAAAAGAACCGTGGCTTAAAGAAAAACCAAGGGGAATTTGTTATACTTCCTAAAAATAAAATATATTAAAAATAAAAACAAAAATCTTTTTGTTGTTTTCAATAAGCTCAGTCCCTCAAGAACTCCTTATCTAAAAGAATCCGTCATCAGACCGCGCCAATATAACATCCAAAAACATCCAAAAAATAAAAAAAAAACTCGCAATTTATATGTTCAAGAACAATTACTCCAACAATACTACAATTACTAACAACACTAGATCACCAAAACATTTAAAAACAAAAGTGAAATAGTCACGCAATCCCAAAATATTATATTGTACCACACCTCCAAAACAAAACAATAATCCGAAACAATTTAAACGACCTAACAATCCATAATTATTACTAATAATTACTACCCTCCTTTCCTCCTTTTCACCCCACACTTAAAGCGAGACATGTCCCCATGTCTTTCATTATAAACAGGAGATGAAACAGAAGTACTTCCCGGAGGAGTCACTCTTGATCAGACACAGTTTCGGGATTCACGTTGCATGCACGCCCCAAAGCTCGCATCCAACCCATGAACTTCTTTTCCGACTTGACTTGTCGGTCAGTTATTGTGTCCACACGAGTATTCAAATCATGGATAGAAGTGCGTATCTCAGCCGCCTCTTGTTCCAATGTGGTGGATCGGGGTACTCTGGCACTTCTTGAAGAGGATGTTGCGCGTGAGAGTGCTGCAGCTGATCTCCTGGGTGCTTGAGCCAGTACTTCTCCCTCCACATCCATATGCTCTTCCTCCTCCGAAGCGTTCGAACCACTTTCATTCTCTCTACCTATCTCTGCTGCCGGGGCTGCCTCGCTGGTGGTCGGGCCAGGTCTTATCTTGTGGCTTTTTCTTACCAGCCCATCCACACGAATGTTTTCAGGCACTTGCACATTCCTGCAAAGTCTAGTCACCAAAGAAGGGAAAAAGAAACCATACTGGCGTTGGGGACATCTGATGAACATCTCGTCATGTATCACTTTTGCCATGTCGAAGGGAAGGCTTTTGATGAAACACCAAATCAACGCAGCCCGGGGTCCATTCACCTCTGTAGTATTTGTGGAGGGAATAAGTCGACTGTTGATCACATACAACCAGCACTTCGCCTCTTGAGTTAAGGCGGCTGAATGAAACTTCTCTCCAAATTCTAACCATTCTATCATTTTCCCTGGTTCACAAATTTCATCAAAGAAGCGTTCCCACTTGGCATCGGTTGGATGACGCCCATATTCATAGAAGTCCGAATTTTCAAGCAAAGGGCCGGGCAGTTGATAAGCTGCGCGTATCGCCTCAATGGAGGCATCTACCTCTTTCTGGCGCACTATGACCACCTGATGGACGTGCTCGGGTAAATTGGCATAAAATTCTCGTACCACCATTTCATTAGCCTCCCCTGGCTCGTCAATGAAAGCTTGCAACCTCCGCTCCTTCAACTCATTGAACATGTGGGGGCATCGTTCCTTGACCTTGTTAATGTGGATGCCCCTTTCAGCAATTGCCTTCTTAACCGCCTTTGCTATGAAACGATTATGAGCCTCAAGGGAGACAAATTTGGTGCTATCATAAGAGCGCTCTGGAGCAGCCCTTTGGCGGCTTGATGATGGACCTGTGGCTAGGCGTTTTTTCGTTGGTGCCATAATACCTGCAAAATGTGGATATATTAACTCAGCTCAACAAAACAATTATGACTTGCTGCGGTTACTCAGACTTCACACGCAAAATTGGTCATAACTACATAATCATGCTCATTGAGGCTTTTCCACAAACACCTTGTGGGCAGTAAGCTTTCACAGTGTTTTTCTAATGGTCTTGCAACAATGGCTTCCCACAAAAGTTCATTCATCACCCCATTCAAGTACTACGCACCCCACACTTACAACAAACTAAACCCACAATATATTTTACCAAGGTTGAAACCCAAATAACCAGATACAACTATATTAATATCTTAACATTCAACAAGAAATTTAAAATCTGAAAATAGCTAAAGAAAATCACGCGCAACATATGAAAAAAAAAAAAACTCATAATCATACAAAAATCAACAATAAAAGTCTTAAACATAATATAAACAAACAAATAGAAGAAAGTTTGAAAGAACTCTTTAAAAATCCTTCTCCAAGATGTTCTTCTTCTCCTTCTTAGCTCCAAGATGAAGCTCCTCATTCTCTTTCTCTCCCTCTAGGATGAATAGTATTTTTGCACTTAATCCCCTTAAAAATCTGATCCTCCTCATAATGGAGTTCTTGCTTTATATAAGTTAAGTGGGATTTTTAGAAAGAATTCCGAGTTTACCCCTAAATAGCCCGCGCGAACTATCGCGCGAAGTTTCAAAGTTAGCGCGATAGTTCGCGCGCTTCAGTAGCTCGCAAATTTTGTGATTTTATTTTCCGTCTCGTCCTTGCATACACTCGACTCCTAGGGGTTATTCTTGCTCATAAATCATTCCAATCTCCTCTTGAAAGCATCATTAGGCTTCTTATCCTGCAAGGTATACATATTTTGAGTAGAGCCTGTTTTTCCATCAATTATCCATAATATGACATTGAAATATAATCAAGCATAAGCATAAACAATAGCTAAATCACCCAGATTTCGCCTATTATCAGTAGGACCAGCTGGCTTGATCAAATGCCTTCTCTATGTCTAGTTTACATAGAATTCCAGGGACTCCACTTTTGAGTCTCTCATCTAGCAGCTCATTTGCAATAAGAGCTGCATTAGTTATCTGTCTATCTTTTAGGAATGCATTTTGTTCCCCTGAGATTAGTTTCCCCATCACTGTCTTCATTCTTTCTGCCAGATGTTTAACCACTATCTTATACACACTTCCAATAAGGCTTGTTTGTCTAAAGTCCTTGAGCTCTACTGCACCCTTTTTCTTGGGGACAAGTGCAATGAAGGAGGCATTGCTAGACTTTACCATATGACAGTTATGGTGGAAATGGTTGATTGCTGCCATGATGTCCGGCTGGATAAAGTCCCAAGTTTTTTGCTAAAAAGCCATTGTGTAACCATCAAGCCTTGGGGCTTTATCTGGTACACAAGAATTGATGGCTGCCATCACCTCTTCTTCTTCAAAGGCTCTTTCCAACCATACTTCTTCCTCCATCGAGATCTAGCTAAGTTTTCAAAGTTGACACTAGGCCTCCGTTGCTCACTTTCTGAGTAGAGCCCCTGATAAAAGCTTAGGATTTCAGTTTTGATGGATTCTTGGTCCTAGTGATTTCTTCCCCTATCTTCAATCTGTCAATGTAATTGTTCCTTTTGTGGGAGTTAGCCACTTTCTGAAAGAACTTAGTGTTCCTGTCACCTGCTTTAAGCCATAAACATCTTGATTTTTGTCTCCATAAGACCTCCTCAACCTTTGCTATTTGTTGTAACTCCACTCTTATCTGCATTAGTTTCTCCTTTTCAACTTGTGTTTGGGTCCTGTTCTCTGTTGTTTGCTCCAGCATTGCTAACTCCTCCAATAGTTTAGTCTTTTGTGTTTCCAGTCTGCCAAACTCCTCTATGTTCCAATTACTGATGTCTGCCTTGAGCCTTCTCAGTTTCTGCACAAGTATAAAATCTGGGCTGCCTCCTATCACATAACTCTGCCACCAGTTTTTAACCTTATCAATGAAACCCTCCACCTGCCACATATTTTCGAATTTGAAATAAGAGGGGGTGGCTTCCCAGTCACCACACTCAAGGAGTAGGGGCCTGTGATCAAAGATCACTCTTAGGAGGGCTAGCTGCTTGATAGCTTTGAAACTGTCGCACCATTCAGGAGAAATTAAGAACCTGTATATTCTCAAAGCTGGCAATGAGTCTTCACCTCTGAACCAGGTATAATAAGCTCCTTGTAGAGGCAAGTCTATAATAACCAGGTCTTGAATGATGTCTGAGAAGGATACCATGGCCCTGGACCTTCTAACACAGTTGTATCTTTCACTTTCATACCTACAAACATTGAAATCACCCCCTATAACCCATTGCTCATTCCAGATAGATCTGATTGCTGCAAGTTCTAGCCATAGTTCCTCTCTTTCAGGATTTGTGTGTGGCCCATACACCCCTGTAAAACATCATCTGAATTGTTCATGCATGCTTTCTAACATGCATGATAGAGTGTAGTAACCTTGATGAGTATCCCTGTTTGCCCATTGTCTTTTGTCCCATAGGATGATAATTCCTCCACTGTTACCTACAGATTTCAACTCTGCCCACTCAACCCAACGATTACCCCATATTTGCCTAATTCAGGATACTGGGAATTCTTCAATTTTTGTTTCTTGTAAACAAACAATATCCGGCTTCCACTTCTTAATCAGTGATGAAGTTGTTGTCCTTTTATCAACTTCATTCAATTCCCACACGTTCCAGCTTAATATTTTTACTTTCATCCAGAAAAAGCTTTGTAAAACCTGTCCCCATCCCCTTTCCTTTTACCCTCGTAATTTAGGCCCCATTTCAGTCTTTCCAGTTCTGTTTCTTGCTTCTTGCTTCTTCTTACCCCTTCTCTTTTCCTTGCCTGGTGACTTTTGTTTCTGTAGCTGCATTTGCCGCTTTTGATCCATTCGGAGGATGATGCCCATAATCTCATGTTCAAACCCTTCTATGTTAACCCCAGAAGCCTTGCATGCCTTTAACATCACAGTTTATACTCTATTTGCCAAACATCTTGCAAAAAGATGTTTAGTTGACAGTTTGTGCTTGCTTATTTAGCGTGCTGACAAACGGGAAATAGTATGTGTTGTGGATCAATAAGTTATCAAACAGTGGACAGTGCAAATTATCTAGGTCGAGTCTCTTTAGGTTTGGTGCAGATTATCTAGATTGGCCGTGAAGTTGCACAGAATGCACTCAACCTCTTTTGGCCACCACCCCTTTCTCTATTTTTATTGGTTTCCTTTTACTCCTTCAAGTAGGCGTGCCTTCAGAAAACCACAACATATGGGGACGATTTCCTTGCACTGCTCTTGTATCGTTATCAATGCAATACCAGGATTGTGATAATCTAGTAAGCTTTGTGCTATGCTTTTGGTATTCCTTTGTGTTTATTTTTATAGATCAGATTTTCGTAGGATGGGAGATCTGAAAATTTCATCCCAGTGAGGTTAACTTCCATTCTGCTATTTTTTTTTAGATGCAGTAATATCTTTCATTAAGAAAGGCATCAAGAAGATGCGAAGTTACAAGAGGCATATTTGCAAAATAAACAAAAATACAGGAGATCATTGTTTTCCCCAAAACAAAGTCGAGCTAATAAAATCCAAAAGGTGTCCAGTACTATTTACTGGGGACAACTTTGTCCAGCAAAAATGATCGAGCAAGCATTTAGAAAGGTGTCCATTCTGCTACTTCATCCTTTTCGACACCATTAAAACCTTAGGAGCGAGCAACAATTGATTTTGATAGAATAAGCTTTTCAACATAAAACATGGAGTATGTCATGACTCATGGGGCTTATCTTCTTTTCTCTTCTTCTTTTTCCCTTTTAAAATAATTCGAAGGTAACTCATTCTCAACCTAGCTAACATTTTTAGACATACCCTACTAAGTTTTTTTGATTTGTACCCTACTAAGTTTATATCTAAGATTTGCTCTTACTGGGAATAGGAACATAGTTAATGCACTAAACCACTTCTCAGAGCACGTACATTCATTGAGCAAGTAGACAGCTGCCAGAGCATTACTTGCAGCACAGTTCTACACTCTAGCATAACAAGTAACGATGAATCAATCAGGCTCTGATGTTTTATCCTCCTCAGTTTATCTCATGGTATTACTCATTTATGAGATATGCAGAACATGTCAACCGAGAAGATTCCAGCGCAAACAGCACCTGCTGTTGCATCATCATGCCGAAAAAAGAAGTCTGAAAGTGCCACGTTTTTGGAGGATGTAAAGGATCACATTGATGAATTTATAAATGCCTCAATGGATGAACACAAGACTTGTTTCAAGAAGACCATCCAGAAGGTTAGTTCCAGATCAAATAGCTACAGATTGTTCCTTTTCTTTTTTCTTTTTTTAGGCATTATGGATTACCCTTAAAAGCTATGCATTTGTTTATGCCTTCAGATGTTTGGGATGTCTAAAATTGTTGCTGAAAGAAATGCTGAAGCAAAGGAGGTTGAGAGCTCACTTCCTCTCCGAACTGTTGTATCTGAGTAAAAGATTCACAACGGGGAAAGAGGAAAAGGAGGGTGAGATTGGAAGGTCAAAATTGCATGCAATCCAAAGCCGTTCTCTTGCAAGTTCTGTCGTGCTATCCACATGTATAATAAACAAAAATTTGAGATTCTTTTGCCTAAGAATCCTTTCTGCTTTTGCATCTGGCTGGCTGTATCACACATTAGCCATGCCTAGATAAGACATCTCAATAACTTTTTGATGAATCCTCCAAAATGATTGTGTGATCCTTCGTTTTTATGGTTTGAGCTCTACTTTTTCTGCTAATACATCCTCCTTGTTTTAGTTCTGTTCCATACTCTATGCATTCTCTGGTCGAGTTTTCAAAGAATGCCTTTGCAAGAGCCCCAAGCCCCTGAACAACTAAAAGTGCTCCTTCTGAAGTTTCTGAGCCTGCTCCTATGCAGAGATTAGATAGAAAGGCCACTTATCAAAAAAAAAAAAAAAAAAAAAAAAAAAAAAAAAAAAAAAAAAAAGAGAGATAGAAATGTATCTGGCGTAACTGGTAAAGTTGTTGCCATGTGACCAGGAGGTCATAGGTTTGAGCCATGGAAATATCCTCTTGCAGAAATGTATGTTAAGGTTGCATACAATATACCCTTGTGGTCCGGTCCTTTCCCGGACCCCGCGCATAGCGGGAGCTTAGTGCATTGGGCTGCCTTTTTTTTTTTTTTTTTTTTTTTTTTTTTTTTTTTTTTTTAATTTTTGAAAAGGTATCTATCCACAATTGGAATTGTAGTGATTGTCGCTGAGTTTGAATCCTAGTATGTAACCATCATGAAAATAGTTGCCTAATTGGAGTTTTTCTACTCATCAGTTAGTTCAGTGAAAAAAGGTAAACATTTCTAAAGCACTTTGTTTCTGTGAACTCTTGTGTTAAATAATTAAAAGCCATTCCACTCTTGATTGCTGTGAGGACTTTCTTTTACCTTCATTTTTGTTGTTGTTCTCTTTTATAACTTTCAAGTAGTTCTAACAAGAACATGTTTCAGTAGTGCTTCAACACAAATGCCGCTCCTTAGTACAATCTCAGTAATCGATCCTGAAGCTGGTTTGGATAGAGAGATAGGTTTTATGTACTTGAAATTTATGTCTTTAGGTTCTTTTACATTTATATGAGCATATTAAAAGAAAATTTAAAACACAAACCCAAACGAAAGTTGATTTAAACTTCCGTTTTGGGTTCCTGGCGACAGTGATCTTCAAGCAAAAACAAAAAGAGTGAAGAGGAAAACGAGGACTCAAAAATTTCACAGATACTCCTAAGAAATTTCATATAATACTCCTACTAAGTTTATCCTGTTAAACATTCATAAATAACAAAAGATGTCTTTGATTTGTTTTACTGTAATTTCAGTTTAGTCTTCTACGTAAAAGTTGAAAGTGAATGCATTCTTACATGTAAGTTACTTTTTGTTGGATGGCAAAAGGGGATGGAACAAGCTTGGCAAGAATCCATTTTTTGCACTTGAAAAATGTGAGATAACAGTTGTAGCTGTGAGTAACTGTTTAATTCTCCTTTTGCACTAAACTTTACAGATTAGTTATGACTTTGACTAATATCACCACAAACTTTACCTGTCAGATCAAAAAAATTCTCTCTCTATTTTTTTTTCCCTGTTCGTATACTCTCTCTCCTAATTTTTAACCCCAGCTAAAGAACGTGATAATTAATTTTCAATCATAAAAGATTGCGAAATCAAAGGCTTTTGGGGAATTACATTAAAGATTACTAACCAATCAAGTACTGTAGTATTTTATTGTTGTTGTTATATTATAGAATTATGAACTTTATTATGTTAATATTAAAGCTTAGTAATTACCTGTGAACTGTTAAAACGAATTTCGGGATGGGGTATCATATGAAAGATAGGAAATTGAAGAAGGAACAAAAAATGAGCATATTGCATTAAATACGTTCCATTCTGATTGTCCCCATTTGGATTAGGTTGTGATAAAAGGAAACAAATTGGTCAGAAAAACATCCGCTGACCGAATGATTCGTTCGCTTCGTTTCTTTCTATCAGGATCCTCTGTTTGTTCACGTTACATCAACGATTGACAAACCAAAATAAAATTAAAGTTAAAATCTATTCACTTATGCTCAAAATGATATACTCTCTCAACTTTGTATAGAAATGAATTTGCTCTCACCTAAGCATATTTAGAAGATAGAGTTTAACTTGTATGTAGTGATAGTGTCAAATTTTTAAATACTTTTGAGGTTTAGCGTGATATATGTTGGGTGTGCGAACAATGTCTCACATTGGTAACTAGAAAGATTGAGAGCTTACATATAAAATGTAAGGATCTCTTAATGGTGTAAGACTTTTTGAGAAAAATCGTGAATATCATTAATGAGTTGTTTTAGTCCAACAATTGGTATCAGAACCCAAGTTCAGTAGGACGACTATGACAATGATTGAGTGATTGTGTGTGACTCAATTTGCTTACCCTTACGAACTTTGAGATGCGCACGCAAGAAGAAGCTAGTTGTGAGTGGTACATGGTGAATCTCCAAAATTAGCCTTTGGATCGAGGTAATGGGCGCATGGAACTTGATTCGAAGGGGAGACCCGTGGATTGTGATAGTGGACTACGTGAAATAGTGTCCCACATTGGTAGCTGAAAAAACTTGGGAGCTTATGCATAAAATGTGGTGGACTTGACCCAAAACGAACAACATCATGCCGTTTTAGCCCAACAGTTTAAAACAATACGTAATTGTCTATATATGTGTGTGTAAGTATAATTTGATAATGTAGAAAACTTTTGCATTATATAAAATATTATTATTAATTTGAGTATGCTATCTAAGAATAAATTCAAATTGGAAATGATATGGTTGTACAAAACTACAAAATGAAGGGTGTCCTACCCAGAAACTCAAACCATGTGGGAGTGGGGTATAGCACACACTATTAATTACAAGGGTATGGGTCTTGTAAACTACGAGACATTAGTATATAACTGTCTTTCTCCTAGCACCCTAGCATATGCCATTGTTTCCAATTTTGAGGAATTCATTATGGGAACAATGTGCATTTGCATTTAAACAAATCTAATGAAGTCCAAACAAAAACACCCTTGTTACTTGCCACATGAATTGGTGTCAGCCCCATATTCAATTCACTTTCATGAATGTGAAATAGATATCTCTCTTCTTCTTTTTTTTTTGGGGTGGGGGTTAATTTACCTAAACTATTTCATAATGGAATCCATTTACAGTAGTAATAATAGGCAAGAAACTCATATTTTTGGATATATTTTGCCTTCTATTTGCTGCACTTTAATTGTGTTTGAGCTTAATTGCAAGCATTTTATACTTATTAAGTGTGTCATGTTGTGTAGGAGGTGATTTCGAGCTAAGGAGTAATTGCGGAGCGAGAATAGACTCTTTGGGGCTTCAAAGTTGAGTTCGTGGTTCGCGGATCAAGTGGTAGTAGCAGATTCAAGAGTTTAAAACTTTAAATCAACGAGTCCGAATACAATTTCACATACTATTATATTATGACAATTATACTATATTATAAGTATGAAGCCCAAAATTGAGAATTGAATTACCAAAATACCCATCAAAAACTAAATGACCATTTTAATCTTTAAACTAAGCCTAATTCCTATAAGAGTTCCTATACAAGTGAATAGTTTCAATTAAAACAAAATACAAAATAGTAAATTACCCCTTTAAAAACAATAAAGTATAAAATTAAATGACTATTTTGCCCCTCATTTAAAGACTACTCCAACAATTTTCTTGAACCAAATAGTAAAATTACCTTCGAAATTACTGCTTCATCATTAATGTATGAAGCCATAAATTTATTAAAATTCGTCTTGAAATATATACCATTTAATCCCTTATTTTAATTTCAATAAATGATTAGCCAAATAATTAACGTAGATGAGTGTAATGAAAGTTGTAGTAAATGTGGAAAACGAAATTAAAAGTCCTACCAAGCCTACCGTAAGTTAGAATTCACGCGCAACGCAAGTGTTCAGAAATATATATATATATATATATATATATAGTCGAGAAAAGTGAAGATGAGACGACATACCACATCCGCCATTTTTTTCAATGTTGCATAAAGTAAAGTGTACATTTAAATACAAAAGATTGCTCTAGATGACAAGAAAATTCCAGAAACTAGATTTGCGTACATTCTGCTCCACAAAATTGACAGTAAAATTGCTGAAGTTGAAATATTTCATTTCATGCAAAATATTTTTCCTGTAACTCTTCAATCACGACAGTATCCCTTTGATGTATTTCATAATCATGATGTCACATGCTAATCCCTAATTGTTCATAGTAGGCCAGTAAGTCTTACCTAAACCAATTATCAAATCTGACTATAATAAAGAGAATCTTACATAAATATCCCAAATAATTATAGACTTATTAAAACTAATCCAACACATATAAATTAAAATTGAAAATCTAAATAAATAAGGTTCTTTCTTTCCAAAAATCACACGCAAAGATCTCTTTCCATAATTTTTAAACATGATCAACATCATTAGATGCGAGACGGAAAGACAATTTCATGGATGAGGTAGCAAACAACATGATGAAATACAATATATATATATAAAAGCCAAAAAGGACCATTTTCAATGGGTATGGTTGAAATTCACTGAAAATATATAGATGAGTCAATATACAAATTTTGAGGAAGATTGGAGGTGACTTCGACTGATTTGGTATCAAAATTCATAGTTAAAATCGAGTTACAAAAAATCTTCTGCGACACATGTATCAAACATGTATCACGTATGTATCACAAACACATGTATACGTGGATATACATGTGATACACATTTGATACAAATATGATATATATGTGATACACAACGTGATACACATATTATTTTTCATGTTTCATTTTCTACTTCAAAGTTTCAATTCAAACCACATCAAAACTTCGCCAAATCATCTCAAAATTGAGATTCAAACTCCTTAAGTGTACCAAATCTATTCTAATAACACACACTCAAAAGAAAACAAATATTTGACCCTTTTTGGCTACAAATAGCTAATTGGCTAATATTTATTACATTTGACTAATATTAGTAATATTTAATAAATTGGCCAATTTTTATAATAAGCTACTTAGAAATGGACATACCTAGTAGTAGGGGTGTACATGGATCGGGTTGGTTCGGTTTTTATCAAAATCAAACAAAATCAACTATATCGGTTTTGATTGATTCGGTTTTTGTCGGATTTGTCGGGGTTTCAAAATTTTTTATTACATGAATATTATTTTAATCTTGTTTTGTTAAAGTTATAAATAAAGTTTTGATTAGTGAATATATGTTTAGTAAATATTAAAAAAATTGACAAACATATGATTTATTAAAATATTCTAATGGGAGATCTTTTTTAGTAACACATGATAGTTATTTTCTTAGTTGTCTAACAATAATTTTTCATTAATATACGCATTCAAGGTTAACACATGAGAGGATCCCAAATATTTCTACAATTTTTAAAGAAAATTCAATATAAAGTCTTAAAAAATTTATAAAAATTATATATTTATATGTCGGTTTGGTTCGGATTTTTTACTCAATACCAAATCAAGTCAAACCAAACCTAGTTGTATTTTTTAATCGGTTTGATTTGATTTTTCGATTTGGTGTAGTTTTTCGGTTCGGTTTGAACACCCCTACCTAGTAGTTTCCCTATAATAAACTCACTTGTTTTTAGACCATATTTTCGTTATATTGCATTTTTATAATTTTTATGAATGAACATAGTTGGTAGTTCAAATAATCTTTGTTACATTGTATTTTTTTTAATTATTATGTTTTTCTTATAATGTTCTTTAGCCGAGGGTCTTTCGAAAACAGTTTTTCTACCTTCATAGGTAGGGGTAAGGTCTGCGTATACTTTACCCTCCCCATATTCCACTTGTCGGTTTCGATTGGGTTGTCGTTGTTGCATTTTTATTATATACCTTCTTTTATACCATGATCAAACATGAATCATTTGCTCAGAATACTGATCTTGTCCTATTTTTGTTTAAGGGTTTATAATCCATATAGATTGATCTTTTAATAGTGAACAAGATTCGGTTAAATGATTTTGCATTTTCAGTACTCTAATTATGATAGTCTAAGATCTTTATTCTGTGTGTCTTGTCCATACCTTGACTCACTAATTATGTCCCATAGGTTGCAATTAATGATCATGTCTCTTAATTATTTTGCTTCTACATTTTAATTTCAGTACAATCATACGTTAAAATTGAGATTTTTGTGCAACAAAAAGTATTATTATAGTCATGGAGTCTGAATCTGGTCACCCTGTTGAAAACCAAATTGTTGCTACACATTTTAATTCATTAATCAATCATGTCAAGTTGTCAATTCCAATAAGCCAACTGGAAACTACTAATGAGAGAGACAAAAAACACACAAAGGCGGCCCGGTGCAATAAACTCCGGCTATGTGCAGGTGCGGGAAATGATCGGGTCATAAGGGGTACACAATCTTACATGTATTTCTGCAAGACGCTATTTCCATGGCTTGAACCTGTGACCTTTTGGTCCCATGATAACAACTTTACCAATTACGACAAGTTATCCTCCGAACAAAAAAACAAAAAATAATTCCAAAAGTCCTGAGAACTTTTTGTAGGGTCATTTGCTTAATTTGGTTGCCAGACAAAAAAAGCCTGGGGAAAAAATAGCAGCTTCACTGCTTATTTTTCTCAATAAATCCCAACTACATAAACCCCTCGTCTCTTCTCACTCTCTACTTCCTCAACCATTTCTCTGCCTATCTCATTCTAGTATTTTAGACAAACATTGTTTGCAAACAAAGAAATTGCACTTTAATTGTCAATGGCTAGACCACAACAGCGATATAGAGGCGTTCGACAGAGACATTGGGGTTCTTGGGTCTCCGAAATTCGCCATCCTTTACTGTAAGTAGCCTTCTCCTTTTGAATTAAGCAATCGTTTCTGTCTTCGACTTGAACTCTATATATATGCACACACATTCGCACCCATTGTGACAAAAAAGAAATGGATGCTATCGTAATGCATATAACTTAAAATTCTGTGTCCGCATCTATTTCAAGCCATGGAAACAGTATCTTGCAAAAATGTAGGATAAAAGTGCGTACAATAGACCCTTGTGGTCTGGCTCTTCCCCGAATTCCGCACATAGCGGAAGCTTAGTGCACCTGACTGCCTCTATTTCGAGACTCAAAAGTTATTGAAATTTGGTAACGTAAAAATTAAATGGTATATTTTGGTTGTAGGAAGACAAGAATTTGGTTAGGAACATTTGAGACAGCAGAAGATGCAGCAAGAGCATATGATGAAGCAGCAAGGCTTATGTGCGGTCAAAGGGCTAGAACCAATTTCCCATACAACCCAAACATGCCACAAACATCTTCCTCCAAAATTCTCTCAGCTAATTTGACAGCCAAGTTGCACAAATGTTACATGGCTTCACTTCAAATGGCCAAAACCTCAGCACAACAACATAAAATCCAAGCTTCACATGTTAATGTACCAAAAAATACACCCATTCAAGAAAATGTTGCTTATGAAAAAAGGAAACAACAAATGGTAGCGCCAAAGCCATCATTATTGACACATGATGTGGAGAGCATACCACAAGTTGTTAAGCCACTTGAAGATGATCACATAGAACAAATGATTGAAGAACTATTGGATTATGGGTCCATTGAGCTTTGCTCTAATGTTACTTCTCAGTAAAAGAGATATTATAAAGCGATATCTTGGGCACGTACCTCGACTGCTTTTGGTGATGTTCCTCCTCATCAGTGATTGTCATCTCTCGGGTCTACATTGCTTCTGAACTAGAAACTACCCACTTTGCTAATTTAGCACAATTAGTACAAGTCTTTTTCATGAGCCTCTCTGTCTAAAATCTATACATCATTAGTAGTTAGGCCTTTCCTTCTCTTTGGTTCCTAGAGTTCTTGCTTTAAGAGAACCTTCTATTAGTTGTATGTCCAGTGTAATAAAAAGAAACATGTTACGGCACTATTAATATCATAAGTATCACATATATATTCCAGAGTACTACTTTCTTTATTATGACGTATTACATTTATGAGAAATTTAGATTAGCCAACTCTCTCTCTCTATATATAAAGCTGGAAAAAAGAGGAGTAACATGGCATATTTCTTTGGCTAGCTTTACCATTTATCCTTATCTTCATTTTTTTTTTTTTGGCTTTTTTGCCTCCTTTTGATCTGAACAGGTAAACCTATTCCAATTCTTTGGGTCATTAATTTATCTCTCATTTTTGCTATTTTATTGTTTCTTCGCTTATTATTGTGCCATTTCTTCTTCTTTGTAACTTCCCATCAAATCTCTCCTTATTTTAGGTTTTGATTTTCCTAATGGACTGTTGTAATTACCATAATCAATGTCAAAAAAAAATTGTGAACTTATATAAGTGCATTTTGCAATCTCTAAGATTTGCATTCACTTCATTGACCACTAGGCTATACCCTATACCCTTGGATGTCAAATTAGACTACAAATCATAGAGGGACTAATTGCAGCTTTTGTCCCTACTTCAGGTGCTTTTGAAATCTCTTTGCTAGATATGATACATAGTCTGCATGCCACAAATGTTGTTTGCTTAACCTATCTGAAAAGGGAGATTGCAACCTCCTTCATACTAAGGAACATACGCCAGTTTTTAATTTTGAAAAGGAGATTTCCATTATTATCTTTAAATTCATATGCATTAACTTCAAATTGTAATCCTTTTATTTCAAACATGACACTGTTGCGACGTGCAACCCGATCCAAACAACATACCCGTGGCAGCATGCCACCCGATCCATAAATAACAATAAATAAAGAAATACCCATCAAGACATAATGCTTATGCCTACAAAATACCCGAATATCGACTGCAAGCACGCCAAGTGCAAACATACAACCCTGGAGAGACAGATAGCGCCATGTGCTACAAAACAAGCTCGACTAAGGTGCAATAGCGACAAGCTACACAGAACCCCAACACACGTGCAGATAATCAAGTCAGCTCACAGCCCACATGACATTAGAGTATTATAGAGAAAAGGTAACGACATGAACAACATCCAACACCCAAGGACTCCTCCATAAGCAGTACTATGTTGAATGAACACAGGTAACTCGATGTAGAGCATACAATTCACATTAGTTCTAATAGAGGACCCCAAGCCCGATTCCGATCACTCCATACTGGCCAATGACCTTTCAAAGATCCACAATGACCCAATTCATGACACATAAGAGCAACCTTCAAATTCGGAACAAACTACGATAGTCCACAACCAAAGGAATAGAGCGCCTCTCAGTCATAACCTCTCCCGTTGGCGACAATATCAAACCTCCATACCTGATTTAAATCTCTAACAACCTAACGACTAACAAGTCATGATTATACGATCTTCTCGTGGGATATATACCTACAACCTACCGCACCAGGTAGTAAAATCTGATCATTAATGGCCATCGACCATGCTATTTCAGTAGTGCTAGTCAAGCCTCCACATTGTAATATCCAACACTTCTTTCAACAAATAGGCCATCCTCAGACTTCCCCAAATTAGTGCCAGCATACTCTGAACATTTGAAATTTCCCCCCACTCCTCTAAGATCGTGACATTCTTATCAAAATCGAACTGCAACCTTGATCCTTCACTTCTAATTTCCATACCCCTCACTGAACCTACCATGCCACTACGCGAGAGTCCAAGAATTTCATCACAACCCCTGAACCACCAGTAGAATAAACATTTTATCAGCTAGAACCACTTTTACTCCACTTATTTCAGAAGAACTATTGCAACACGCGACCGAATTCCCATGGCCGCAAAAAATGCAAACCTCTGGTCATAGTCTAAACTGCCATAACACTTTTGGAACCCATCTACACATCACATAAGAATCAGAATTAAATACCTCCAAATCAATCAATTCATAGAGGTTGTTAAGCCCAGAAATATAGCTACAAATCACCTGTATATCCTTAACACACCGAAGGAACTGATCATTTCCACCATCATGCTAGTCTAAATAATTGCTAACTGGTTCAACTTCTTACAATTTGCTCCTGACTTGCCTACGAAATAATAGTAGCTCCATTCAAACACATAACAGACCTCCATTCAAACACATAACAAACCTCCAACAACACTCATACCTAGTAACCCAGATCACAAGACCATATCGTCTCAATACCCATGATCCATCTCATACCCTCCTTAGGCACTCGATAATATTTCCAACTAACTAACTATAACAACGGAACACCTGATAAAAAAAAACACTATAGCAACTGAATTAGCTATTGGCATGTTTATTAATAAGAACGTAGAAATTGTTATGTTTGTTATTGATCAAATAAACATATAAATGTAGTCGTAGTATTGAGAGTGGGACTGGTTAAGTAATTATGGTGCAGTAGCTGTAGTTAGTAGCACTAGCAGATTAACTGTAGTTAGAAGTGTTAACTGAGGTTAGATAGTTAGTTCTAACTGTGATAGGAGTGTTAAAGAAGGCCAGTTAATTATGTTGAGAAATACGTGTATAAAGCCATGTACAACTGTTGAAATATTCATTGAGAAAATTCCCAAAACTTAGTGCATAACTGACTGCTTCATTTCCTCTCTCTGAAACTAGCTCCCTTTCGATCTGCATGTGTTAGGACTCACAGAGATTGTGAGCCATGAGCTGAGAATTGATTTTCTTCACATGGTATCAGAGCCCCAGCGTACATTAATGTGGACGAATTCTTCAATTGAAGCTTGATTACACATAGAGTTTGTGAGAAACATGGCGACGGAGATAGACAATGAAGTACCGGAGAAATTGAGCCATAATCATCCTCTTTTCCGCAATTCTATCGACAATTCAGGGACGGTGTTGATATCTCTACAACTGACAGGATCAAAAAACTACTCAGTGTGGAGCTGTGCGATGAGAATTGCAATCCTAGGTCGTAACAAGCTAGGATTCATCGACGGAACATGCAGGAAGGAGAAGTTTGCTCTGAATCTGACTGATCTTTGGGAGAGATGCAATGCAATTGTGTTGTCGTGGATAATAAATTGTGTTTCAAGTCAATTGCTCAGTGGAATAGTGTATTCATCAAGAGTGCAATTTGGAGTGATTTGAAGGAGAGATTCGACAAAATTGATGGACCTTGAATATTCCAGTTTCATAAACAAATTGCGAATGTGACTCAAGAACCAGTAGTGTTGCTGCTTATTTTTTAAAATTAAGCTTGTTGTTGGATGAGTTTGATGCCCTAGCTCCATCTCCATGCGATTGCCCTAGATCTCGTGCTTATGTGGAGTTCATGAAGAGGCAGAATTTACTGCAATTTCTAATGGGATTGAATGAATCGTATGAGTAAGCTCGTAGCCAAATCTTGATGATGGTGTTGGCTCCAAGGTTTCACGTATTAATTTTGATGATAACAAACCAAAATAATTATTAATCAAAGAACATTTACTTGTGGTAATCTTATTCTTGTACAGGAAACAAAATGCTGGTAAAGATCCAAGCAAATATGGAAAAGAAAATATCTTGTGAAGAATTTATCAAGGAAGATTATTTTCAGAGATTTAATCTAGAAGGAATAATATTTGAAAGTAAAATTTCAAATATTGAATGGCTTACTACAATATCAAAAGAAGAATCTATGGAAATTATGGATGGAACGTTTTTCAATATCTTGAAAGGAAAGTTGCTAAAATCATGAAGAAGATCTATTATTTTGTGGAAGACAAATTCTATATGGAAAAGATACTACAAGGACAAGGAAGAAAATATTTTCTATGGAACGAAAATATATGATGGATGTAGTACAATTTATATTATGGAAAGATATTATTTTCCAAGACCAAGAAAGGAATATTTTCAATATAATGGGAGAAGAATATATTTTCTATGGAAAGAAAATATATTATGGGTATAATACAATCTATTTTATGAAAAGAGATTATTTTTCAATACCTACTAAAGGAACATTGGAGAATTATGGAAGAATGCTTCCTAAAGTGTTGGACAAGATCTACTACGTATGGAATGTTCTTACTATAATATTATAGTAAGAAATTATATCTCCAAGAACAAGGAAGAGAATCACCAAGCTCTTTCAAGGAAGAAAAATTCAATATATACTGGTGCATGGTTGACAACACTTCAAATGGAAAGATCTCATTTTATGGATACACAATAATATTGTCTACTTCACAAGGAAGAAATCGAATGAGCTTAAGACATGGAGTCCAGAATATCAGCAAACTAGAAATATATTTTGAGTCCATTAGCAAGACACATCATCAATTAATAGGTACAAGATATAAGGAATAAATTCCAATAAATTAGTGATTGGTGGAAGGATTTCAAATCAGTTTGAAGGTGCAAATGAAATTGAGAAAAGGAATTAATAGGAAGCCACTCAATCAACGGAGAAAATATTCTGATTGAATATTATCGAAATCAAGGGGTCAGCAAAATCAAGCCCAACGGTCAGAAGCTATTGAAGACTATAAAAACGAGAGACTGGAAAGAAGAAAGCACATAGCCTTCTATACAATTGTCGATCCAACTACAAGTTCTTTATTCTACTCTTAACAAGCATTGTAATTCACTTTAGTAGATTTACTGTGTACCCAAAAGAGAGAAGAGAGACAGAAAAATATTGGAGAGGCAGTGTGTCCTAGAGGTTGTGTCATTGTTCATTTCTTTGGTGAGCGAGTAAAAACCAAAGAGTCGTTGTTGGTGAGCGAGTGAAAACCAACCCTGTCAACATTGGTGGTGATCGCTGAAAATTACAAAGGCTGTACTCAATTCAATTTACAAAGATCTCTAAAAGACAACACTCTTGCAACCCAAGAAGACTGGATTAGGATACCACATTGGTTCCGAACCAGTATAAAATTCCTGGTGTCATTTACTTTATCGATCTCATATTATATTCTGTTCCCTTACTATTTATTGTGATTAACACTTGTTTAAATCGAAAGGACTAATAG